TGGTACATGGCACAACGAGTGGGGCAATGCACTGCAACTGTAGCATGGAGGATCGAAGTGCGTGCTCAAATCAGAAATGGATGGAAAGTGACTCTGGCGCTCAAACCGATCGTTGTACTGCGGCGATACACGTGTGACTGACCTACGTCCTGCTTCTTCGTCCTCGAAAGAGTTTGGTTCCATGTCCAGCGCACCGAGAGCTGTCATGTTTTGGTGGGCAGCTACAGACTGCTGGGAGAAAGGGTTTGGCTGGCTGAACGCAGGAACATCAGCAAGTCCAGGTGGATCAAGCTTCTCGGCAGGATGGAGACCTGAGACGCCACCGATGGAGCCGCGGTGCTGGTGGATGTTGGTGAGGCCGGAGTAGTGCATCGATTCTTGGCCAGCTTCGTAGAGAGGATCAATTTTTTGTGCGGCTTCGAGGCCAGAGGTACCGCCAATCGAGCCGCGGTGTTCGTGTTGGGGCCAGTGAAAGGATTGAGGTTGATCGTCTGGAGGTACCACATTAGTTTTACGCAAAAACAAAAGACCAGAAAGAGAAGTATCAATTAGCTTGAGACTAAGTTGCGTGATGATCACCACTTTAATAGCTCACCAGTGCCATCAGTCTGCATTGATTTAGGTTCCACTAGCTGGTCAGCAATGCATGATACACAAGTAAGAGATTGAGAGGATCGTGAAATGGATGAAAATGGGGTATATTGATATTGTAGGCAGAGTTTATCTCCACTAACGAGAATTGTATCCTTGGCCACCAACAACAGATCCTGGATCCGCACGATGATCCGCATCCGAGTCAAAGCGAGGATCGAGCTTGTTGCCGACATTCGTGGAATGCGTCCCGACGTTGGTTGAGCCAGGTCCGGTGCCGGTGCCACTTACACTGGACAAGGGGTCGGCGCGATGGTCTGCGTCTGAGTCGTATCGAGGATCCAGCTTGTTGCCAGTATTGGTGGAGTGAGGGCCAACATTTGCCGAGCCCACTCCAGTGCCGTGAGTAGTTGAGGTAGAGTGTGTGGTACCCATTCTCTGCGCATCAGCATCAGCAGGCGTAACACCGGCATCCCCAGCACGACCTTGGTAGCCGTTTTGAAACTCGTCAAGGCCCTTGTTGGCGATCGCGTCGTTCTTTGCTGCTGCTGTGCGGTCTCCACTCGCGTCGTCAAGAGCAGCTAGTGTCTTTCCACGGATAGCTTCGCCGGTACCCTGGGAGCTGTCAGTATGACGTCGATGCAGGTTATGTTCGTTGCAAGCCTTCTGTTTTAGAATGTAGGCCATGGTGGAATGACTTACGTGCACCTTCCCAACCACATTACGGATGCCTTCACCAAGGCCACCACGCCCAGACGTTCCAGTCATTATGAATAGATGATGATTAGGTTATTTGGCAGATAAAAAAGCTCGCAAGGTACAGGGTAGGGTATACGTGTTTGTATGTTGTATTCTTTTAGTCGTCGAGGTTCGAGGTGTAGAGTAGGTGATGTAAAGGTCAGGTATATCGAAGAGTTGAAGCTGGGGACGAACTCGGGGGGACGATGGGGTTGTATTAAGTAGCCACTGCCCCTCTCAACAGCGCGCCAACTCTCAATGGGTCCGTGTGCTTGTTCAAGCACGTCCAACTGTTGCTGTCAGCTGTCGTGTGTGGGGAAGGAGCGCAATGGTGACATAGTCGCGAAGCTGTGATGTCATCGTGGGTCTGGCGCGTCGCCATTCGATCGAGTGATGCAACTATTTCTCACCCAATCGGGAAAACAGACTGTCAATACTGTCATCTGTAGCAAATTCTGACAGACCAATACTACAACACCTACGCAGGAAGAACTCTAGATGGATTCTTGGTAGTCTGCATGGATTTCAGAGGTGCCCCATTGTGAGTCTGGTAACAGTTTGTTCAGCTCAATGCATAGGACCAAGAACCTACCGCTCGCTACAAATGACATCTGAACACCATCAACTCACGTAGCCTGATGCTACAAAGCCCGTTTGTTCATGATCTTATTTGTTTCTTCATTCGGTTTGGCACATGCGCTCGTAGTCATACTGCTCTACCTACATATTTTACATCATTCGTAGCCAAGCAGGCCTCATACTTTCATTGGCGCCATGGACGACTGCAGCCATGCTTGACCAAATACTTACGCCTTGCCGGCGGCGTAGAAGTCATTGAGACCAGTCTGGACACGCTTGGACATGGAGACCTCACCAGCGCGGACCCAGACACGGGGGTCGTAGTACTTCTTGTTGGGCTTGTCATCGCCATCTGGGTTGCCGACCTGGCTCTGGAGGTAACCAGACTTGCTCTGGATGTAGTCGCGGACACCAGCGAGGTAGGCGTACTGCATGTCCGTGTCGAGGTTGACCTTGACGACACCATATGAGATGGCCTCCCTGAAGTCCTCAACCGAGGAGCCGGAGCCACCGTGGAAGACGAGGAACTGATGTCAAAGTCAGCATTTCCCTCATGCGTGTGATTCGACATGGTTTGACACGTACCACTGGCTTGTCCTCCTTTGCGCCGGTCTTCTCCTTGACAAAGGCCTGGTGCTTTCTTGAGCAGACTTGGCTGGAGCTTGACGTTGCCGGGCTTGTAGCTAAAGACGTGTCAGTGCACCATCAATCTCCGGGTTCTTCGAGAAGCGCTTACACTCCGTGAACGTTACCGAATCCGGCAGCAATGCTGAAGTAAGGAGAGACCTCGCTCAGCGCCTTGTAGATGTCGTAAATGTCTTCTGGCTGGGTGTACAGGCTGTTGTTGTCGACATCCTCGTTGTTGACACCATCCTCCTCACCACCGGTGATACCAATCTCCATCTCGAGCCACTGCTTCATGGGAGCGGCGCGCTGAAGGTACTTCTTTGTGGTGGCAATGTTGTATTCCTTGTCCTCTTCCGACAAATCGATCATGTGGGAGCTGAAGAGGGGCTCGCCGGTCTCCTTGAAGAACTCTGGTGGTCGTTAGCTCCGGGGTCCATTGACGTTTGCATAGAAGCGAACATACTCTCATCTGCGTCGAGCATGCCGTCCAACCATGGGAGGAGCTTCTTGGCGCAGTGGTCTTGTTTCCATTAGCCTAGAACTTGAAATCGCAGTGGACGGCCGTGCATACCGGTGTGCAGAACGACAGGAACCTTGAGTTATGTTAGGCCAACATCAATAAATGCGCGATACCATTTCCTGACTTACGCCGTAGATGGGTGCAATGCTGCGGATGTAGCTGTGAAGTTGTGATTAGTGCCTATCTGGGGTAAAAATGATTGCTTCAGCTTACTGTGCAGCAGCAATAGCTCCCTAATGCGTCTATTAGTACACGTTCATTCGCCTAGTCGATTTGATACTTACAGCAATGGAAGCCTCCTGGTTCTTGTTGTCGACTGTTGGATGTCAGCTCCTCTGTCCCCTTCCGATTTTCGGTTGTGTAAACTGACCGCCCTTGCCGGCGAAGTAGGCAGCACCACCCTGGGATGCCTGCAGGATGATGGGAGCCTTAGCATCGCGTGCTGCCTCGAGAGCTGTATATGGTCAGTTGCGGCGGAGCTATGTGTGGATTGAGGACAGTACCGGCGACGACTGTGGAGGAGGAGGTGACCTGGATGTTGTGTTAGGAAGGGAAGATACCAGGGGCTACTACTACTACTACTACTACTACTGACGTTGATGGCTGGGATAGCATAGCCGTCTGAAAGCGTATAAGTCAGTATCTAGAGCGGATAGCAATTGGTATGTGCCCAAACATACTGTCACGGGCGTGCTCTGAGTGGGCAAGTCAGTGAATGCGCTGCATGTAGAATCTACTCTGGTCTACTCACGGAACAGCTTCAGAACGTCGTCGCCATAAAGGACACCCGCCCTGCTCAGGTCAGCTCACTGTCCTTCTCCATGCGCTCGCTCGTGGGGAGGGGGTAGCCTACTTGCGGGAGAGGACCTCGGAAGCCTGAACCATGATTGCGGCGGGATGAATTGGTGTGGTAGGCGTGTGGTAGGCGTGTACTGGGAGTGGACTGGGAATGCAGAGTGAGTAGATTGAATCTGAGCAGGAACTGCAGAGTGTTTTGTGTAGAACTTTTGTTGAGAGATGCGCGTGAGAAAGGTCAGACAGGCCTAACTAGTTACTACAGTGGGGTCTATCCCAAGCTGCAACCCCGCTATTCCGACACTCGGATTGACGTAACTTTGGGACCTGCTGCCACCCCCACCAGTGCCACTTCTCACTACTCTATACTCTCTGCTCTCATCTCTCCTCACACAAGAAGCAGTGCGAAAGTGAAGTCAATCTCTGTGCGCTGTTTCCTTGTCGTATGCCGAAAAGACGGTATGTCAGCGGCAAAACCCTGAGGTGTGCCGAC